TTTTTTTTTTTTTTTTTTTTTTTTTTTTAATTAGTAAGGCATATATATATATATAATATTTAATCGAGCTAGCCAAGCTATAGAGAAGACCATAAAATAAGGACTAAATTAAAAATACAATAATAAAGCATTAAAAAAAAATTATATCCAATTAATTAAATTTATAATTTAACTAATATTATTTTTAAAAAAAGAATAATAATATTAATAATATCTAAATTCAAAATATTTAATCGAAATTTTAATTTGTGTGTGAAATAAATTTTCTAACGTATTAAAAAAAATGTTGGATCCATTTAATATAAAATAAAATAAAATAATTTAAAATTTTGGAAATAGTAAATTAACCAGAAAAAGATTATGATATTTAATTATTTGATTTAATGGTCGACTATGCACAATTACTTCTATAGTCAGAAAGCACGTAAATACAAAAAAAAACAGATCCAGTAGAAAATTTGACAAAGAAAGTAATTTGGCGTTGTTTGGTTATCGCGTCTGCGTCTCCAGATCCCATAATCGATTCAGGAATGGAAATGGAGGAACGCTCATTTGTTATCCCTCAAGAACAACAGCAGGTTCATCTTTTTCTTTCGATAAATTTGCAACGTTTGAATTTACTGGAGAATCAGTCGTGTTGTCAGCCGGCTAGTTATGCATTTTTCTATCGGTTATTGACTTGTTTGTTCCTTTTCGTTTTACGGATGGTATATGTAATCTACAGAACTCGAAATATGGATTGAACGAAAGTGACGAACGTACTTTTGCTGTGATTGGATTATCGTGGTTGTAGCGTATGTGTAGGGGCTTTTCTTGAAATTTGTCAACTCGGTTTCTTTGTGTTGTTCGTAATCTAATTGATGATTGCATTCTCGTACCTAGCTGTTTGTTTTTGGTTTGGTTTTGTAAACTACTTTGAGAAGTTTTGATTGAATGACTTGTTATGGCTGGACTGTGATTTAGCGAGGAATTGAACATTGGTCAACTCTGATATTGCGATTGAGGAATTGAGTGAATAGTTTTCATCTGCTGCGTACTTCATTTATAGGTCTTCTGAGCTTAAATTTCGCTGGTATTTTTTTTTTAAATTTTATTTTGATGAATGGTGCATCGTTGGTTTCAATTTGGAAACTGAAGATGAACCGGTGCACATATCTTGTCATGCTTGATTCTCCTATTATTTAGTATATAGCTACCTAACGGGTCTGAAAAATCCATAAGAAAGTTTAGTCGTAGATTTCAATATTTACTTTAATTTTCTGGAGACAGAGAAACAAGTCTACTGTTACATCTAGAAGTTTGCAGGAAGGTTTTATGTCTTAAAGTTGTGTTCAAATCATTTCTTAAGATCAGTGTTGCAAAGCACCAAAACGCCCAAGTCTTTGAGTTCTGAGTTATCATCAAAGTTTTTAACAACATAGACATCAGCAACGTGTTATAATGGTCAAGTCAACGTATTTCCAGAAGCAATGAATTATGAGATCTTCAGATTAGTAGAAATTTCTCACTTGAATTGTTTGCATGATACTTGTCAGTAATTATTGTCCAATTCTTGTCTTGTAAGATGGAAGATGGAGGTGGAAGTTCGAGGTACACTATTGATGAAGCTCTTGTATCCATGGGTTTTGGGAATTTCCAAATTCTTGTGCTTGCTTATGCTGGGATGGGATGGGCTTCAGAAGCTATGGAAATGATGTTACTCTCTTTTATTGGACCTGCAGTTCAGTCTGCGTGGAGCCTTTCTCCTCATCAAGAGTCTTTGATCACCAGTGTGGTTTTTGCAGGCATGTTAGTTGGGGCCTATTCATGGGGCATAGTTTCTGATAAATACGGACGAAGGCAGGTCTCCATTATTCTAATATCATTTCATAACAGATTTGTATGCTTGATGATGTGACTTTTCCATGTGTTAATGCTATTTGTGCTATCTACTTAAGCCCTTTGCTTGCCCTTCCTTTTTAACGGTTCTTATGGTTCAGACTTGAAGATTTTTTTTTCCTTCTATCTATTGACTCATAAAAGATTGTATTGTATTCACAACTTTGTAATTTAGTTTTTATGATATAGAATTGAAGTTTTATGACAGTCACAGTAGTTCTAGTTTAGTTTTCATGATATATAATTTTTTTTCCTCAGTCTTGGCGATCCTACATTTCCTTTGGTTTTTCATTGTTAACTTTCTCATTCAGGAAAGGTTTCTTCATTACAGCAACACTCACTTCTGTTGCTGGATTTCTAAGTGCTTTTGCCCCAAATTATATCTCTTTGTTAATTCTTCGCTGTCTAGTTGGCGTTGGGTTGGGAGGTGGTCCTGTACTTGCTTCCTGGTTCTTGGAATTCATTCCTGCTCCTGAAAGAGGCACTTGGATGGTTGTTTTTTCAACATTCTGGACCTTTGGGACAATCCTTGAGGCTTCATTAGCATGGGTATAATCTAGCTTTCTGTTGTAGTTAAGTACATGTTCTTGCTACATTTTGATCTCTTATTCAGAAAAAAAAAAAAAAAAAAAAAAAAAAAAAAAAAAAAA